CCCGGCCCGGAAGGTCAAGCCCCGGCCCAGGTGGCGGTCTCCGCCGGCCTGCCACTCACCTGGCCCCAGGCTCCCTGCCAGGGGAGAAAGGAAGGAGGAGGCCGCTGAATTTCGCATCTGGGAAGAGTTGTCAGCCCCTCGCCTCTGAGAATGCCCAGGACTCCCTCTCCCACCAAAAACCCAGGAAGCGTGCCAGTCTCACTGCAGAATGTGAGACTGATCACGACTGTCAGTGCAGACCATTGAACCGGTCCTCCCACAAAGCCGACGGAGCAGAAACTTTATTTTTTCTTTTTTTAATGTTGTTTTCTAATAGAGTCTGAGGTCTCAGGCTGGTCTCAAACTCCTGGGCCCCAAGCCATCCTCTTGCCTTGGCCTCTCAAAGTTCTGGAACTACAGGCATGAGCCACTGGACCCAGCCAAGCAGAAACTTTTGAAGAATAATGTTTGAAGAAGGTGAAAACACGACTCCCGTAAAAACATAAAATGTTCATGGGTCAAAATTTTTATTTGACTAATTAAGAAAGGAACCAGCAAGGTACTACAACCCATTCAAACGATAATGTACAGAGCAAACAGACACAGGCAGGCGGCAGAGAGGCAGAGCCTCTCGGTATTCCTGAGGTCACTGAAATCCAAGGTTTAGGATTATGTGTTTTACAGGGTGGTGACCAATTGTGTCTCTAAGTAACAAAATAAATTTGCATTTCTATAGATAGGAATTATTTGCAGCTGGGTGTGATGGTGCACACCTCTAATTCCAACACTTTGGGAAGCCAAGGCTAGAGGCTAAGACTAGAGGATTGCCTGGGCCCAGAAGTTCAGGACTGGCCCGGGCAACATGGCAAGACCTAGTCTCTCAATAGATACATTTAAAAAAAAATTAGCCGGTGTGGATGACTGATGTGGAAGAATCACCTAAACCTAGCAGGTAGAGGCTGTGGTAGCTGTGATGGTGTCACCGCACTCCAGCCTGGGCAACAGAGTGAGACTCTGACTAGAAAAAAAAAAAATTTGCATGACCACAAATTGCTGTAGCAACCTGAGCAGCACAATAGCCTAGTGAATGGTAGACAGGAGCACAACACTCCACAGTCATGGAGGTGATGTCTGGCATTCCACCCAAAGGACGTGGGGTCATCTTTGCTTACCTCAAAGTCTTTCACAAGTTTTCCCAGCAGATCTGCTATTATCCCCATTTTACAAATGGGAAAACTGAGATTTCAGTTTCATAACTTGCCCACAGATTGATTAGCTGGTAAATAGCTGAATAGGAATGCAGGGAAATCTACTCGGAATTCACACATTCTGGGAGCAAAATCTTTCTCGCAATTTCTAAAGGGTTTTGTAGCTACTCAGTCCTGTGGGTTTTTTTTTGGGGGGGGGGTTGTTTGTTTTTTTCTATTTTAAACAGTGAGGGTTTTGTATTTTGGGGTTTTTTTTTAATCTTCAAGCGTCACCAAGTTCTGGGTCCTTTCCCAAGAAATTGGCATTCTCTGTCTACAGTACAGAGTGGATGTCGCTCCATAGACATAAACAGATGTGACAGCCGATGTGGAGGCTGGGCTCCAGTCTCCAGTTTGGGAAAGAACAGTTGTGCTGTCTGGGATACTCGGGTGGAACGTTCCTGTCATTTATTTGCAGCACGGAAACCAGGTTTTTAGGAGAATAACCTAAATAAACATGGAATCTAATCACTGGGTTCTGTCTGCAGAAGAGGGGGCAGAGTTGGCAATAAAACCAGTCTTACACCTCTTTGCAGAAAGATGATTCATACAGAAAAGCAGCCTAAAGAATTTGGTTGGTTTGGGTTTTATCTTTTAAAAATGGGAAACTTCTGGAAAAATTTATCCTGAAGGACAATAGAGTTGTAAGAACATAATGCTGAGAATGTATTAAGAATATAACAAGAGTCGGGCTCGGTGGCTCATCCTGTAATCCCAGCGCATTGGGAGACTGAGGTGAGTGGATTGCCTGAGCCCGCGGGTTCGAGACCCACCCAGGCAACCTCATCTCTACAATAAAATCAAAAATTAGCCGGGCGTGGTAGTGCATGCCTGTAGTTCCAGCTACTTGGAAGGCTGAAGTGGAAGGATCGCCAGAGTCCAGCAGGTC